CAACTAACAATAATTAAAATCGTCACACTTGAATGCATTTATGTAAAAACTTGAATAGAAATAGTTGTGTTTTGAGATGTTGGAAATTAGATTTCATATATTTTTTTTTTAATTTTTATAAATGAGTTTTTAAATAAGATATAAAGCCAAAAGTATATAAAATGAGAAAACTCAGACTGTAGTTTTTGTGTAATAACATTTTCAAAAACTGTTTAATTTTTTTCTTAATTGCATCAATTTAAAATTTAATGTGGTTATTGAAATAAACTGTTAAAAAAATACATTTTGTTTTTATTTTCATATAACATTAATCCAAACGTTACGGGGCAGTTATGCCTACGCTTCTCCTATATGATAATATGAATGTTCTGCTTTATGAATGAGGTGTAGGAAATGTATTGTGCATTGGCTAATGAAATATTATATGTTTTTGGTGAATAAATGTTCTTTGAAATGAAAAATTAGAAACCCAATTACAGAAGATTAATAATAATGAATAAACATCATATTACCTTAACAGATTTGAAGACAAAAAAGACAATTGATTTGAGTTTTCGTTAACAAATTCTGCCATTTCCTCATCAGAAAACTGCAGGTCTTCATCAGATGGATCAAAGCCATTTTTTTCCAAATGAACAATGCTTGCTTTTTTAGCAACATTTTTAGGTATGTTAATTGTTTTTTTTGCTCCAGTCTTTTTATTAACTTTATATAGTCTATTAGCTTTCGACTGTTTGTTAACAAACTTATTTTTAAGTTTCAGCTTAGATGTTGATTTGGTGTTTCCTTTTTTCGTTTTTAATTTAGCCATATTCAAAAATTATTATCTAAAAACAATAAAAAAATAAAAAATATTAGTATCATAGAAATAAGATTACATACATACATATATACATACATATATACATACATACATACATACAAGCGTTTTAAAAGTTAAGTTATAAACTATAGATAGCTACAGATTACTCATCTCAAATCTTTTTATTCTTAATTTTAAAAATAGAACAACTTGATAAATAAATTTTATTGAATTGTTTTTATAAAATTAGAAAAAGTTATAAAAAAAAAGGTTTTTTTACTAAAATTTTAGTAGAGTTTATTTCCATGGAAATTTAATTCTGGCTGTAAATAGAAATAGATTTACAACCTGAACTAACTTTCCATGGAAATTAACTCTAATAAAATTCTAGAGAAAAAAATGTTTTTATAACTTTTGCCAATTTTGTAAAAACAATTTGATAAATTTTATCTAACAATTATATAACAATTAAAATAACTTTAATACTATAAAATTAAAAATAAACATACTTTTAATAACATAAAATTTTTTTTTTTAATTAAAAAAGATTTTTTTATATCAAATCAAATATATTCTGAATAAAAGATCTTATATCAAGGATATTTACAAATAGTAATGATACTAATCTCAAGTAAACACCTATCAAATTTAATTATAATAAATAGTGATAATAAAAAGAAAAGTAAAAATCAGTTAAAAGGTGATAATTTTAAGAAAAGGAAGAAATAATAGTAACTGTAAAAGTTATATAATAAATATTTAAACAATTATCAGTAAAATTAATACATAGAAATTTAAAAAATATTAATTAAGAATAAAAAAAAATTAAAAAAAATCAAATTAAATTAAATCAAGAATTACAAAAGCTTATTAGAATAATCAAAAAATCAAAAAAAATCCACTATCACTAAATAAAAATTTCATTATAAAATTTAAGCAATCGTAATTAAGAAAACTTGTTTGAATGAACAAAAATTATGTAGAAGAAATAATATGCAGAATCAATCGTATATCGAATAAATTTAAATGTGTTTTTTTCTAATTACTTGTGTGTTATAACCTGGGTGAGATATATAGCATTAAAGTGTTTATAGAAACCTGGATAGAGATATATAACATTAAAGTGTTTATAGAACCCTGGATAGAGATATATAACATTAAGGTTTTAATACAAATCTGGATAGAGATAAACAACATTAAAGTGTTTATCTCCTTAATGTGTTTATATAAACTTATATAAACACATTAACGCAACATTTATTTTTATAAATATATTTAAAATAGTATTAAAAAAATTAGGACAGAAATTTTAAAAACAAAAAAAAAAAGAAAAAAAAAATAAAAAGTGTTATAAATTTTTATGTAAATAATATTAATAACAACTAAATTACAACATTATTAAAAAAAGATTATGCACACTTAAATAAATTATACTTTTGCAGCTTCAAAGGTTTCTTTTTTTTCAAAATATAAATAATAACAATAGATATTAAAGCAAATCTCTGATAAAAACAAAAATCAAATAATCAAAACATAGATCCTCGATAGCGATTACTTGGTGCTGCATTTTTTTTCTTAAGAATACGAGACGCTTCGCGTAAATGCTTGGGTTTAATTGGTCCCGTTTCACCCCATTTTTCCATCACATCTAAAGCTGTTTAAAAAAATATAATAACTTTGTTTTAATTAGGGGTCATTGCATAATAAAACAAAAGCAAACAACTACAACTTATATAAAACAACTACAACTTATATAAATAACAACTTTTATTATATTAATTTAAACTTGTGACATTAACATAAAAGTCAAAACTTTCAAAAATCATGGATATTGAAAACTGTTTAAAATAAATATTATTACTTTGAATATGGATCATTTTATAATTTCATAACAAATTTTAAAAGAATGGCAACTTTAACAGAAAATTTTTTATTTTTAATTTGCAACATTGAAAGCATTGAGATTAAATCATTAATATGGTTTTAATATTTGAAATAAATATTAAATCAGTCACCCCATCCAAACACCATACAATGATTGAGCATCAACACTTTAATACATTACACAATGATCAACCCTTTAATGCGTAAACAACGGGGTCTCAGTTTTGATTATATCGAAAATGAACCTTTACAATTTAGATGCAAGAATCATCATGATGATTTTCAAACAACATCATTATCAATATATCTTACTAACCCAAATTTGATTATGTCATCTTTTATGTGCTTGTTCTACATTATCTATTGAGCTCAGGCACATCATGTTCTGATCCAAACATATGTCTTAAATATCAAAAACATAACTTATGTATCTTGAAATCCTATTATAATCTCCATTTCATTACTTTTCAATTTTTCTGCTCCCCAATGGATATATTCCCAATTGTGAGTACTATATTATATAATTTAAGTATTTTAATCAATTTACACAGAAGAGGAAAAAAAAAATTCTATAAAACATTGAAAAAAGTTTTTTCATTTAGGTTACATTTGCAGTTTGTAATAAAATAATGCTGAAAACTTGATATTTAATAATCAAAAAAAAAAAAAGTTCAAATATTTTTGAATCACACAATTTTAATGAACAAATTTTAAGATTTAAAGTTTTCCATACTGTAATCCTTTAAATCTTATTTGTAAATAAAATATTTTTTTACTGAATTCACAAGCAGTAAAACATTGATAAAACCTAACAAAAAAATATTTTAACCCCACTGCCTTCAAGCCATATTTTAGCATAAAATTGAAAAAATTTTTTTTTACATAAATATGCATTTAGGCATATTTATGCAACTTGATTAATATTTCACTTAGTTAATTGTTCTGTTTAAAGTTATATTTGTATACTTCCTTTAATTATAAAATTGTCTTAATGGTCTTGCTAAGTCAAACAAAGACCATGTAAGGCCAGCAAAATTCTGCCTGTTTTTTTTATAGTAACACATAAAACTTTAATATGATAACACAATAAAAACTAACCTTCCTCAACTATTTCACCAACAAACACTTTAGCTATGCCCGCCATTGCAATAACAACATTTGGTGGAACAGAAGTTCCCCCAGTCACATTTTGCATAAACTTTACATAAAAAAAAAATAATGAAAACTAGTAGAAATAGTACAAATAAAAAATATTAAAGAAACTATAAACAAAAACAATAGAGATTTATTAAAATCTAAATGGCATAATGAAGTTCATAAAATCTGAAAAATTAAATAATCAAGTACAAAGCTTTTCTCTTCATAAATTTATTTTATTTCAAATAACTACATAATTAAATTTATTTTACAGTCAAATTTTTAAATAATAACTATAAGTCATAATTAAATAACTGCATAATTAAATAATTTATTTTACCAAGTCTAACTTTTATGAAAATAATGTTGATTCATAATCTTAGAAATTCTTGCTGGTTTATAGTTACCAGATTTTTCAGCAGTAAATTATAAAAATTATAGGAATCAATAAATCATATTAAATGATAGTTTAGAAACTATTTTTTTTATTGCTAAAGTTTTTTAATAGCATAACTTAGATTAGGTACATATCAAATTAAGATAATATTTTTGATCTTTTCATTTCAGATATGATATTATATTATTTCTGAAACATAACAATAATAATAATAATAATAATAATAATAAATAAAAATAATCATAATAACAACTTTAAAAATGAAACTTTCAAAGTTTTTTCAAACTTTTAAAGTGTCTCTCATTTAACTTTACACTTACTAATTGTCTGGTATGCTGACCAAACAACTCAAAACTCTTGGATTACTTACCGATACATTTACTATGGAGTAATGGAGTGCAACAAGGAGGTGTACTATCTCCCCTTTTATTTAATTTATATATTAATGCTTAGTGTTTAACTTTACAACTTCCATAACCTGCTGTATGGGTCCTTTAAGTATCTTTTTTATGCAGATGATATTGTATGTTTGGACCTTCAGCCAAAGGTCTCCAGAACAGGGGTTCAAAATGATGAAACATGCTAGAGAAAAGCTTAAGTAAAGAAAAAATTCATTATTAACACTATTTAGAAAACATTATGTCCAGTATGTTGTGAGGAAGCATAGAAGATGCAGAGAAAAGATGGTAGTAAAAGTGTGTAGTTGTTGTTTTAAAAAAGAAAACAGCTAAGATGTTTTTGCACAGGTCAGATGTAAGTGTGTCAGGTTTGATAGGGCGTGTGTGTATATCTATATTGTAAATTTCTATTCAAGATGTTTAATACTGGACCTTTTAAATTCATGGCTCGCAGATACTTTGAATATCTCAGATCTTTATATAATGTCTTGCTGCACACAACAAAATATATTGTAAGTCATAAAACTAACTCAATTTTGTTTTTTGTTTTTATTGGTTTAATACATAATGCTATTAAAAATATGTATAAATAAACAATATTATTTGTTCTTTCTCTTCCACAGTTTTTTTTTTATTCTGATTCACTTCCAACAAGGCTGCAAGCAACCACTATTAAGTTGGGAGTTACTAACTAGAAAACAAAAAACAGAGTTAAAGAGCAAGGAAACAGTTGAAAAAAGACCAGAAAAGTTGTAGGTTGTATATATCAGGAAAACTTGAAGATGAGAGAGAATTCCAAAAGGTTGATGTGCGGGGAAAAAAAAAACTAGTTGAATAAAAGCTTTATAAGGATGCAGGGACAAAAAGATGAAAAGATATGAAACTATGCTGAACGAGTCAAGCAAGAATGAGTTTTGATGGAACTAGAGATGATAGCTTCTTTAATTGTTTTATCATTAATATTTTAAACTTTCTTATCTTGAATAAAATAATAATTAAAAATCTAAATAAAAATTACAAATTAAATAACTAAACTTATTTAATGTATAACTTTTTTAAATCATCATATATATTAATTGGAATTATTTTTGATCATTCGACTTTTTTAAAAAATTCAATTGCTCAATGACTATTTTGATAAATTTGTTTGTTGTATTCTGTTTAATAAACTGATTAAAACTTCTTATACCAGGTTAAATACATTAAGTAATAGTGCAAAACTATTTGTTAAAAATCTTTTAAATGTCCTATTAATGCATTCACATAGTAAACCTTATTAAACATGACATCAGTACCTTACATTATTTTCTTTTGCTGAAAGAAACCTTATCATTTAGTTTTACTTTTCTCTTTATGCAAAATTGTTCTAGAGAGTTAATATCTCACAGGATTACAATAATGAAGATATTAATCCTGTGATTCGGATAAATCATTTATTTCTCTTCTTCTAGATATTTTATAAGAATATTTTAAAATTGTGTATTGTTACTAAATCAATTAAACAGAAAAAGAGCTACTTTTGTTAACAAACCTTTTTTTTGGTTTTTTCCAGATAAATTATAAAAAGTAGAATCCTCACTTAGACTTAATTCAAATATTTTTATAGAAAAAAAAAACATAATCAACTGATTTTTCATCAACCAAACTATACTTGTGCAAATTTTCCGTTTAACCACATATAAGATTGCACATTAATTAATGAAAAAAAACATAAAATCCAAGATGACTGCTCAGCAAAAAAGCACCTTATAATAGCTGATTTTGTTGTCAACTTTCAAAATCCATTTGATAATAATGCTGAAATTCCACTAAAAACCTTTATAATGTTGGTGACCATTTAAACAAAGTTTAAAAAAACCTGAGATGGTTAGTTACTGACATCTTATAAAATACTCCAATCGCTAAGATTATAATTAATTATATATATAATTAGGATTACATCAGACTTTTAAAATAACTTTTAAACTAAAACTAGGCTACAAATTAACATAAATTAACATTCAAATAAAAAACATTCGTTAATTTACGTCTGACTAGATTTAAAACGTTTTAACTGAGATTACAAAAACTTAAGCTGTCCTCACAACATGCTAATTTTGCTTTTTCTTTTTTTTTAAGTTTGAGAAATAAATTGATATAATAATAATGTAAAGTACAATTTATAAACATATAATATGTAAGCAAATTTATGTTTTAATAATAACTTCTAAATAAATAACTTTAAATTATTTTTAAAATACCCTTTTAATTGCTGCCTTGGGAAAAGAAGCTCTTCTGTACATCTCGTATCGATTAAGCTGCTCTTCACTGAATGCAGATACTAACATGCTGAAATATATCCAATTTGTTTCATATTGATAACATATTTATAAAAAAAACTTTTCTTTTAAACCTAATATCAACAGTTATAAATACTGGAATTCCGACCAAGAAAGAGCTTATAATTATAAAAAATTGCCAATAAACAATCAGAACAGATCATATTATTAAACTATAATGTTCATTTCACCTAAAAAACTTGTTAATATAAAATCTTATTTAAATTTGGACGAGCGATTGTGACTTTAAGATGATTTTTTTAAAAAAAAAAGAATCATTGGTCTGGATTTTTTCATTACAAACATTTATATTTTATGATACCGCAAAATTTATCATTTTAAGTTTTTTTGCCTTTTCATAATTCACAGACCAGACCATTTAACGGAAAATGTCGTAGTCAACAAAATATCATACAGACGCTCTATTATTTTAAAAGTGCCTTAACTACATCGAGAATAAAGGAAAAAAAAATGACTGAAGAGGTACTAAACGAAAACACATTTAAAAAAATTAGACAGTGAATTAAATTTTAATTTTGCAACAAATAAGTGAATTGATATGTAAGTATATGCCTTGACCAAAATGTTCATTATTAGAAATTTTGCAATTCAAATTGTAATATCAAGCTGAATTTAAAAATTGCTTCATAAAGAGCAAATAGCTCAGGTGAGTTTTGCAAGAAATAAAATCAAAATTAAACAGATAAAAGGTTACTTTAAAGACCATAAGTATTTGTTAAAAATGGATTAAAACAATTTAATAATAACTATTATTTTTGTTATGTTTTAAATTTTTAGACATTATGCTTTAAATTACTATAAAACTTAAATCAATAGAAGATAATGCTTGGCAGCCTATGCAATAAGGGATAACATCCATGCACAACATGACTTTGTTAATACTCTGAAATTTTATGGCTATTGATTAAACCAGCCTCTTCACATGGGTTGAGGTTAGGAGTTAGCACTGGCCTAAATTCATAGAAGTATCTTATGTATATATTAAAGGTGTTCACTATGCAAATTAATTTCAAAATGGTAAATGTAATTTTTTTCCATTCTATTATGGTTAAAACATATTTTCAAACTATACTATGGTTAAAACATACTTTAATTGAATTTTGATAAATTTTAAAGAGAGATCCTAAATGGATCCCAAACATTTGCATTCGAACTGATGTTAACTTCATTTATAATTCGTGTACAGTTTTATAAACGTTAAGAATAGCTAATTATAGTTTTAATTGATTCTATTTGTTTGATTTAGCAAAGCAATGTTAACTAGAAGAGAAAAAATTGTAGAGGTTGGGCGTTTGCCACATTTGCTGCCTGAAAATGTTACACAATAGCTATTGCCCTCAACAAGACCAAAAACTTTAAACTATAACTGATAACTGGCTAATTAGACACCCATCTGTATTAATAACAGGAGTTAAACTTTCTGACTGTCATGGACTGTTTGACAACTCATAAATTTGTTTTGTTTCTATGACACAATAAAGCAATTTTTGCAAGAGTGTAACAAAAAAATTGAAAAAATTGCATATGACTTTAATTACTGACACAGTTGTTAAAACATGACTTGCATTAAGACAATAACACACCAATGTTGCATGTTAGATGATATGACAATGTGGATTGAATGAAACAATTTAGTCTTTCTATAGCCCTGAAAAATGATAAACGGATACCACATAAAAACTGATTGGCTTGCTAAATCAGTCAAGCTGGAGTAATACAAATATCAAGCAATGGATCAATCTGTTTGTCTGCAATATCAGGTAGAACGCAAATAGTGGAATCAAGAGATGATATTGATGAAAAGTTCTTAATAAACAGTTCAGCTTTGTCTTTAGGTGAGATGACAAAATCTGAACCGTACAAGAGAGGTGGAATAACAGATTTCCCATATTACTTATACAGTTAAAGATTCTTCAGAAGTCACAAGAGTCTAATTTCTGAGATGAAATACAAGATTTCATGACCTGAGAATAGCAAGCTTTGGCATTAGACAAAATCTTTTTAAATGGTTTCTAGCAAATGTAAACAGACATCTGTTTTCTGGAGAATTGTTTGGTTGATAGATATAGAAATAATGGTTTCAAATGGAAATCGCAGCAGCACAATGGGAGGTAAACCAAGGAGAAGAGTGAGGTTTGATTTAGAATCGTCAAGAGGGAATAAAAGATTCCATGCTTGCCTGAATCCAAGAAGTTATGTAAGAAGCACATTTGTAAGCAGAAAGGCAAAAGATTTCTACCAAAGGACAATCACAAAGATAAATACAGAAAGAGTCCCAGTCAGCTTTAAGGTAGTTTTAGAGAGATAAAAACATGATCAGAAACACCTTAGGGTAAATGTGGAGAAACTGAGCACTGATTAGGATCAAAAACGAGACATAAGTTGAGAAGAGAAGGTAAATGATTTGGGTTATCTGGAAAACGAGTTGAGTTAGAGATTAAGAAAGACAAAAGTCTAGGGCCTTAATGCCTGCAGAGTCACAGACATTAGAACCAAACCATTCAGCGTGATGAGCATTAAAGCCACCAACAAAAACGATATTGGCTGATGGATAAAGAGAGAAGGCTTGGTCAATTTAATCAAACGGTTTTTTGTGTTTTACAGTTTTTGGTACTTAAGTCATTTTTAAATTTGTTAAAGAACTTGACTCAAAGCATAGATAATACTCAGTACACTATTTAATAGTCCAAGTAATTGCCTAATTACTATTAATAAAGCCTAAGCCATTACAAAGGGCTCCAAATGTGTCCTCGACAATGCACACCAAAATTATGAACAGGGACACCATCCATGAGCAACATGGCACTGTTAGTACTCTAATATTTTACAGCTATTGATGGAATTAGCCTCTCTGAGAGTTACCACAGAGTTCGGGAAACTTGACTACCAGCCAGGCTCAGAAACATAAAACTGAGTTTTAGAGTTGTACTCTCATTAGGAGATAAAAGAATGAGTTGCCTAGTCAAAAAAACAGAGACACAAGCAAAACCTATGCATTGTGTCAAGAAGTTCCCGCATTCAACATCCTAAACTGGAAACAATGTAATATAAATACATCTGTGCCAGCCTAATAAATGAAGAAGGGGTGAGAGGCTGATTAACCTTCTACAAGAAAGTAGCCGGATGCTACTGTATTGTAGAAGGCCTCCTAGATCTTAAATTGTATTATAATTTTTATTGGTTTGTAACAATTCTATTTGTCTGTTAATATTTATCTTTTATGTCTTCAAAGATATATATATATATATATATATATATATATATATATATATATATATATATATATATATATATATATATATATATATATATATATATATATATACATATATATATATATATATATATATATATATATATATACATATATATATATATATATATATATATATATATATATATATATATATATATATATATATATTTATATATATATATAGGCCTTATTTTAAAGCCTAAAATGGTGCACCATTAAACATAAACAGTAGGCCATTTTAGCCTAGCCACTTTTTATTATTTTTTGATATTTATACAAGTCTATAAATAAATCGTTTAAACATTAAGATAATAGAAGTAATTTATCAATAAATAATTAATATTAAAAAACAAAAAAAATGGAAACAAAATAGACATTCCACAATACTTATAAAAACTTATTATTATTTATATTTATATGGTGCAGTATAAATACTTAATAATAATAAATACTTATTATTATTAAGTATTTACATGGTGAAGTGTTAGTCCAATGATGGTAATAATGATTATTGATGATCATGTTAAACATAATAATGAATTTGATTATATATATATAAGTGAAAATAACCTGTTGGTTCTTAATATATAAGTATATATTTTTTTCAAAACTCATGTTATATTTTTTATATATATGCATATATGCATATATATACAAAATTGCAATAAAAGAAAAATTATGGGTATTATGTTTATTTTTAAATATTTCAAGTTGTTTTACTGGATTCCTTGTCTTAAAATATATAAGTCTACATATTTTCAGGTTTCCATTGCACACAAAATGAACAAAAACAATGACTGAAACTATTTTTTTAAATGGTGGATTTATGTTGGTTCAAGGCAAAGTTTGAACAGCCACATCTTTAAAACTGTTTGGAATTAGATGATAAAATTTTGGGAATAATATAATATATAACATATCATTAAAATCTTTAGGTGGTGTAAAATTCAGCAAAATCTAAGATTTAGGGTTGAATGCCCTGCATGTTTTCACATTTCACATGGAATCGCTCTAATGCAATCAATTACTGAGATTCTGAAAAAACCGTAAATTCCATGCATTAGCCGGTCAAGCTGACCACTCACCTTTGATTTCTCATTTTCTATGCTGATTTATAAAAAAACTGACACTGTTAAACTTTTATATAACCAGATTGACAGATATTATATGCCTATACAATTTTTTTGTAAACCTTTAAATTAAAAAAAAATTAAAATTATGTATAAATGTTAAAAAGATTTCCCATTCCATTAGATTTCTTTAATCTTTAATTTCCCTTAAATCTATATGGAAATTTTCAAAAAAATTTGCTGTGTTTTGGTACTTAGAAATCCTTACCTTCAAAAACTTATTTTGAAAAAACATTCCTGCAACAGGTTTTTTTTATCAATGAATAATATATAATTGAAGCCATTTAAAACTTAATTAATTTCTATTGGTTGGAAAGAGGTTGAGTCAAACTAATTAAAGCAAAAAATGAAGAACGAAGATAATCTTTGATGATAGCTAACTTCCTGAAAGATCTTTCACCTTCATTGTTGAAACAGGCAATTTTAGAAAGGTTCTAATTGAAATACGCACTTGTGGAAATATTGAATGCAGTTATAGTTTATGCCCCTTAGCATAAACTATAAACTTTATTTAGAAGTTTGACAAGCTTTTCGCTGACTAGAATATTTTGCCCTACAGAAAAAAAATGCAGAACTTCATCAGAAAATTTGTTTTTACATAAGTTTTCTAGGTAAAGTTTTGCCAGATTCTCAGCTTTTAAATATAGTTCTTGGCCTGTTTGAGAAAAAACTTATCACATTCCTCTTCTATTACTTTAAATCTTGATCTCATTTGACTAGTCAAATTGTTAAGTACGACATTGAAGACAATACACTCAAAGTTTTTCTATGCTTATTCTTGGTTGTTACTAGCAGTTTCATCAGGAAAGACCTTCTTTTTCTGTGTTCTCTTCACCGCAAACATAATTTCATTAAATTTCAATTTTTTTGCAACTTCTGTTGCCTCAATCAAAATTAGGTCCCAATATAAACAGATTCAATTCAGATCAAAAGGCCATTTAAAATCTTTTCTTCAACATCTAGAATTGAGTGGATTAAAGCAGAAGACTCACATTGTTAACTGCCATCAAACATTTAATCCAAAAAGTAGTGAAAACAGAAAATTCAAAAGAATTCATCCATTTAATTAGATAATGCACTCCATTTCTACTTTCACCTGGAAGGTTTAACTCTTTTAAACGATGTAATGATTTCAAGATCTCTTTTTGCTAGTGGCTTGACTGCTTCAACCCTTGCACTCTATTGTGTAACAGAATATTTATGTAATGATTAGTTTCTTCCTGATGAATTTTCTAACAAACTGGACTGCAGCTAAACAGATCGTATAGTATTTGAATATTTCCAAAATAGGATTTCGCAGGAGACGATGATTTAATAGCATATACTGCAAGTTCATTTTGTGAGCAGAGCAAGGAATGAAAATTGCTTGTGGATTATTCTGCCTAATCAAAGCCTGAACTCCATTGTGAATACCTCTCATATTAGTGTCATTGTCATATCTTTGACCACAACAATTTTTTATGAAAAGCTCATTCTCTTTCAACAATATCAACTTTGTTATATCTGATCTCCTCTTTCTTTTCAAGTTATTTTAGCTTGAGGAACCTTTATTTGACCTCACATAGCTGATTATCACTGAAAAACGAAAAACAAAAAACAAAAGTAATTTGATGATGTTGAAATGTATTCATTTTTTGGTTTCTCAAATGACTTCTTGAACCACTTATTTGCCACACCCCTCAATAAATTAATTCTGTGATTTCAATGATAAGTAATGAGCTTACATGCATTTTTTTTTCTTGGTGCTATTATGGTACAATAAGATGGTGCTATCTTGGTGCTATCTTGGTACAATAAGATGCATATAATCTTGTAATGTTTTATTGTGGAGAGCAATTAATTAGAGCGTTCAAATGAAGTTTCCATTCCCATTTTCAAACAACTTTTGATTGGATTCTAATTGCTGACATAAAATAATCAAAATAGTAATCCATAGTTATATCCACTTACAACTTATAATTTTGTTTTTAAATTACAAATAAGATAATGCAAAAAATAATTTAAAATTTAAAAACAATACTCTTACCCCTAAAAGATAAATTTCTTGAAGCTAGAAACATTGTGACTTCAAGAAATTATTTTCCACTGCATTGTTTCATGTCCAATTTGTTTTTCTAATTGATGCTCAAAGGACTTTTGACTTTTTAAGTGAATCGTAGTAAATAGTTTCAGTGAATACTACTTAGTTGATGATTTTTAATGCGGTCTAAAGGTTTTCTTCAATTTCCATATATACCTCCATTCCAAGACAACAAACTAGATTGAACACTGGGTCTGGTTAAATTAGGCAATCTAAAAAGTAGGAAGGGAAACAAAAGAGTGATGCTACAGCTTTATTCTAAACAAGACAATCTCTTCTAACATTTTCTCTGTTTCTTTGTTCCTCTATAAAGATGTAAGTAGGGAGTTTGTGTTATATTACAGTCGTTTGATCAGTGTCTGATATTGATTTTTATAGTGCAAGATTATTAGAGGTTGGTCTAGTTTGTATAGAAAGATCACTTTTATATATTTGTTAGTCATTGTGACAATCAACTACAAAGTCCAACTGATTTATTTTTAAAAGGTGCTAAGGTTTTTTGTGTCATCAATGTCATTGGCAAGAAAAGGTTTGTAGAATGCAATTATGATCTGGCAGCTATATAACTATAAAAAAATATTGTTAAATAGAATTATTTTAACTATTCTTTCATAGATGTCAAAAGATTTTAAAATAATTTTACTACCTGCTTGAATTTATCTTTTTTTCTCCTAGCAGCTTCAGACAAATAGTTCAATCGTGGAAGTCTTTGATTATTCATGCTAAAACTTATGACGCTGCAAAGAATGTTAATTTTTTAAAATTAATATTTACTTTAGGGTTATTAATCCCAGAGCAAAAGTCAGTGCTTATTAAATATCCACTGAAGATAAATCTCTTGTCAAAATATAACTGGAATGTATTTTATTTCTTTGTTTACTTCGTTGTCAAAATATAGTCAAAATAAAATGCAGGCTAGTTAAAAACATACACACACACTAAAGTATCCACAGGTTTAAGTTTAAGCAAAAATAAGTTAAATAACTAGAAGTTAGACTTTCATAACACCATTAGGTTAAAAAAACAAAAAACATGTTTGTTCAAATAGAAAGTAAAAATTTTTAAAGTAATAATTATCCTATTTTAAATGTAAACAAAATTAATGCACAAAAATTGCTTGAGCTTTAAATATGTTATCAGCTAAATTTGTTATCATTACAATATTTTTTTTTTACAGGTATATGTGATGCAGCATAGACTGTGATGCCCAGGACAAACTACTTCAAGCGCAACTCCCCCTTGGTGGCCCTGGTTGCCCTACCCAAACCCTTAGTCAATGTAGCAACATTCCTTTGCGTTTTCTAGCTTTTTTCAGTCGATGTATGTACTGAAGGCCCTGTTAGCAGGTTATTTCAGTATGAGTTCAGACCGCTAACATAAACACGCATAATATGCATTTATAGAAAGTATACCTTAGTTTTTTCCTTTCAACCTCTTGCTCTTCTGTTATAGTTTCTTCTTCCATTGATTTTTTAGGATTTGAAGATGGTTTTACAGGATCAGTGTTCCGTGAAGATGTTGGAACAACATCAAAAGGTTTTTTAAATATTTCTTCATCGTTGGACATTATATGAAACCTTTAATATTACTAATATTAAAGGTTTTATATAATTCTTTCATTTTTGAAAATCTTATTTGTCTTAATTTTATTTATTCTTATCTTATTTTTCTTCTACTAATATTATTAGTAGAAGAAAAATAAGACTTATTAAAACTAATACAAATAGATTTTTAAAAAATGAAAGAATAAACAGACTTTTACCAAACACTATTATTAATTTATCATTATAAAATGTGTAGAGCAATTAGAACTAAGTACAAAATATAAGAGTAATATTTCAAAATAAAACTATTATTTATCTTAACTGTCTTTAAACAATTTATGCAAGATGTGAATATTTATGAAGACAAATTGCACGAGTAAATGCGGACTTCAAAGTAAAATTACTCGTTTCGTTTTAGTCGGGAAAACAATTGAAAAATTTGTGAAATTTAAATGTAAATTAAATAAATAAAAAATTGTAATGAATTGTAGTTACTCAGAGGCCCGTAGCAATGAAGGCGGGGCGGCAACAGAGGCAATTGCACTCCCCCCCCCCTCCTCGAATAATTTTTCAAATAAATAATTTTGAAGAAACAGACTAAAAAAATGACTAAAAAAAAAAGGTTCATAAAACTATTATATGGTCATAAACTTTATATGGTCTAAAACTTTATATTTTTGAACGTTCAAAAATTATGACCATATAAATTATATTTAAACCTCCCCAATTTGAGGAGGTTACAAATTTTATATAGTCATAATTTTTGATCGAAGAGAGATAACACTATGAAACTTAAAATTTGTCAATAAATGAAAGTCTAGTTTAAAATATTACAAAAACATTTTATCAACTTATTGCCCTTCACGTTAAGGGGGAGGGAGGGGGATGTAATTAGAGGGTTTTTCCGTCCCCAGCCTCCAATCACAGCAATTTTTTCCAAAGCATCATTATTTGACATAAGTACAAACATACTAATATTTGAAGTTTGCTCCATGTCTGAAAGTTAGCTATCCTGGATCCGTCACTGTCGTTTGGCACCAATACTAATACTGGTAGTATCATTTTGTATCGCAGCTCGTGTCTTTATGAGAACTTGTATTTTATTTTTATAAACGATTAGTAATTTGAAATTGTAAACTTATTTAATGACTGAGAGGAGAAAGGTGAGATATTAAAAAGAGATATTTTTTGAGATCTACTTTTCCTACTTTTCCTGCATTCCTTTCCTCCTCCTCACTTTTCCGTTTTTATTTGGCTCATTTAGTATAACAGAAATTCTCAAAGGTTGTGTAGTATTGTATGACATTCTATTGACATTTATCATTTAATTTATCATTAATCAAACAGTATTGACATTTATCATTTAATTTATCATTAATCAAACAGTATTGCAATTTTAATTTAATTAGCTGTGGTATCGCTTCCGTAATTTAATTTCACAATATTTGGCATCTTTACTTTAATTAAATCTCGCGTGGTTTCTTAATTTTTGCATAGCCTTTTGTTCTGCATTCAACATTCAACATCTAAACTATCAATAATCAATAAAATCGATAAATTAAAGTAAACTAACTAGTTATCATTTATTATGCCTCTTATATCGTCATTAACTAAAGATTGTTAAATAAACCTTTAAAAAGCAATCTTACTTGTTTTTGATAATAATAAATTAAAAAAGTCATTTTTTTTAATCTAATTGTGACTGTATGACCAATTGATATCATACGATTTTTTTTATTATCGGTATCGTGTGGTAACGAACCGATACAAATGGAATCAGTATTAGTATATAAACGATACCATTCGATACGAGACCATCCTTCTTGGTATCATTTCTGGTTGTAATACGAGACAAGCAGGGCGGTAGTGTGGGTGGAAAGGGGGGTCAAAATAATAAAATAAATATGCAGGATGCCATATATATTGTGTTAAATTAAGCTTTATCTATAATTTTCACCCTGTAAGTAGGTTCCAGGAGTGCTTTTTTTTAGTTATTTAGGAGCTCCAAAAATTGCTTATGCTCTCATCACAGAGCATAGCTTATTTTCTCATCATAGAGCCGGTTTCTAACTCCAAGAACTACACCGTATCTGCAAAAATAGGGAAAACTCAGCTTCTCTATTGTTCTGGGGCAGATGGGATCTATGACACAAAAATAACAAAAACATTTTTATACAATTTATTTAGTTTGAAAAAGAAATACAAAAAAAATGTATTTGTTACTATTTTATTAGTTATACTGCTCGTTATAATGCACTTTTTTCAGCAAGAAAAAAAGTGAACATGTAAATGTTCAATTTGCAACATAGTGAAGCCCATACCGTAGACTCTACCATAGCCATACCGTGGTCTTTGACGCATGGCTAAAGGTATTTTTTTAAATTGAAAAATATTTATGAAAGGAACTGATGAAAAGCAATAATAACACGATCAGTTCGGAAAAGATATAATTTGAAACAAATGTACCTAATAATTTTGCTGTTTTCTTGCTTCAATTTGTTGGGTTTTTTTTAACTTTTTTGGTAACATTTTAAAATTCAATTATTTTTTAATTACATTTGCATACAACACTTAGTTACCTCAAATGTCGAATAGATGTTATGAAAGTGGCGCCCACAAAAAAAGCAAAACAGATCCGGAAAACAGCAGAGTTAAATAGCCTTACTTAATTATTAGATAAATTTTTTAAACAAGCCGAAAGTTTATCAATATCCAAACTATTTTAATATGAAATATGTAACTTATATGGTATATCTCAACTTGTAAACAATAGTGTTGAGAAAAACATGAAAAAGCTACAACATTGATTACCAGAACGAGAGTGTAGAGGATGAACCAGGATCCAATAGCATAAATACTAAGGGTTTACATCTGACAACATTTCAGAAATTAAAGTTAATCTACAAAGATAAAACAGTATCAAAATGCAATAGCGTTATATTAAACGCTGCAATTTGGCCTGTTGAAATCGATAACGGACAACGGATATTTTTGGTAGAGCAGTCGCAAAAAAGTATTAAAGATATCTATTATAAAAGAAATCCTCAAGAAAGATGTTTATGAGACACTATTTTTCATCAACAAAAAAAAAAGGTAAATTAAAACGGAATAAATTGGCTTTTATATTTTGACTCATTAGAAAAAGATTTTTGATTTATGTGTTTGTTTTTATCGATAAAAATAAGCTAAAGTTCAAGTGGATTTTCTGGTTATACACAAATAGGAACAATATGCGTAATTTATTTTTACTTTTACTAAATTTATGCACATAAATTGAAAGAGATCAAAATAGTTGATTGTTTATCAGGCATGGCTATTATGGTTGAAGTTTTGATCGACCCAAAGTTTTAGGATTTCTGGACAAAATTGTAATCCATTCTCCAATTGATTATCTGTAAGAGTATTAAAATTCTGAAAAGATTTTAACAAAGTAGTTAACTGTTATTTAAATTACTTTTTACGATTTTTAAAGTGTTTTCAATAAGCATCGGTGAATAGTATTTTCAATAAACGAATAGCGAATAGCAAATAGTAACTTCGTAAAATTTTTGTACCGAAGTTTAACGAATATTCTTCTTCGGCCTTGTGCATAAATAAATACTGAATGTTACTATTCATATAACGAAATTATACAAATATTTAAATTTGGTAAACGAATTAATATATTCTTAAATTTATTTATGTTCTACATGTGGATGGATAGGTTTGAACTATGTAAACTAGCTTACTCAACATTTACTGAACTATGACCTATTTTGAGTATAAATGTTGAGTTTTGAACTTCCTGATATACACATTGTTTTTTTTTTTTATGCTTCTTTGATGCCCAGTACAAATTTCACTCACATAAACTGACTGTTTCATCTGGACTTGCAGAGTAAGATAACTTTTTTGTAGTTAATTTTTTAGGTCAATAGAAGTCTTTTTAACTTTTGTACATGACAATGTACTTCGATGGAGATGAGCTATCAAGTCGCTACATATTTTGTATGTTGGGGAATTGCGGGATCCTGGGATTCTAAAATCCTGGGATCCTGCGGTTTTTATTAATAATGAATTGGAATGGAATATAGTTCAACTTTAAATGCCGTTCTAGTGATATACGTGCAGTTTTTATAGCTACACTGTTCAAAAGTTTACTCACAACAGTCAACACAGTGCGTAAAATGGTTGTAAATTACAGCAAAAAAATTAGGAATTTTTTAATTACTGAAATATTCGGCAAAAAAAAAAACTGATGTCAGTGTACCCAGCTAGCAAACATACGTTGTTAAAACATTAGAACAATGTCGCGCGTTTCGTTGACCCAACATCGGCTGCCAACGTTGTTTTTGTATCATTATGGTTACAAATGCGACGTCGCCATCAACTAAAAACCAATGTTGATAAAACGTTTCTTTAAAGTCGGAAAATAGTTATATTTTCTACGTTACGTTGGACTTTAATTGGAAAAACGTTGTATTCAATAGTATTCGGAATTAAATTTTCATTAAATTCTGTTTTCTTTATATATATATATATATATATATATATATATATATATATATATATATATATATATATATATATATATATATATATATATATATATATATATATATATATATATATATATATATATATATATATATATATATATATATATATATATATATATATATATATATATATATATATGTATATATATATATATGTATATATATATATATACATATATATATATATATATATATATATATATATATATATATATATATATATATATATATATATATATATATATATATATATATATATATATATATATATATATATATATATATATATATATATATAGCTCACGTAAACATTATATATATTTAAATTGATGTCAACGCTTGATGATCGGAACACAAATCATGTTTGTGTTGGTTGTGGTTTGATATTTTAATAATCACGGAAGATTTTATTTAAGTTATACAATTTCGCAATAGCAATGTTTGGTCGCATACATTGGATTAACGTTGCGTGTAGTTCGTTAAAACAATCAACTTTTTGCGATGTATTTACATACTATGGATCAACGTTGATTTACATACATTGAATCAACGTTGAAATATATACATTGAATCAACGTGGAGTTTAGATCGTAAAAATAATCAACTTTTTGCAATGTATTGACATAATATGGATCAACGTTGATTGACATACATTGAATCAACGTCGAAATATATACATTGAAGCAACGTTGGGTTTAGATCGCAAAAACAATCAACTTTTTGCGATGTTTTTATATACATTGGAAAAAAGTTGATTTATATACATTAAATCAATGTAGAGATATATACATGGGATCTACGTTGGGTTTAGATCGTAAAAACAATTAATTTTTTGCAATATTTTTACATACATTGGACCAATGTAAATTTGACAGCTGTTTTTAGTTCCGTCGGTAATAATTTTATCATTAACCAAATGACATTGAATCAACGTTGGTTTTGCTACATATTAATTTTCATGCATAAAATTGTTTGTTCTGGAGCTTTGGCTTAATTTGTATGACAGAATCAATGTTTGCAGATAAGTGTATAGAGCTATTAGAACAAAACCTTGCACAACAGAAACTTGATTTACAAAAAGATATTGTTGGTATAATGAGAGATGGAGAAAGTGTGATAAAATAAGTTGGGGGAATATTACCTGTAAATCAACAGTTATGTTTTGACCAAGGTGTGCAGCTGACCGTTATTGACATATTATATCAAAAGCAGGAGAAAAAAAAATCAGCAGTTCAATGAAAACAAACAATCAGATATAGAATATGATTTTTCAGAGAATAATTACTCAAAAGACTAGACGCTTCAAATCCGGCTACATCATAAACAGCTTATAAATCTGAATCTGAATTTAAACTCTCTGTTTCAAACGAGGCACTTAAAGCTATAAAAAAAGCGCATTTGTCTAGTATATCAATTTGATGTTAGACGCTGTCAGTGACAATTTAAAAGGAAATGCTGTTGTTTAAAAGTGGTGGAACACGCAGTGATTTTTTGTCAAGAACGTATAATTTTTTAATCACTATTAAGCCTACCAATGAAGAATCTGAATGTTGTTTTTCTATGGCTGGTCTTTTTGCAACAAAAATTAAAATTCGAATGAAACTTCGAATGTACTCTGCTTCCTCAAAACGTATTTTAAAAATAATCAAAATAAATTACATATGTATATTATATCTATAAAAGCAACGAATTCTTGATAGTTTAAGAATTAAGTATGTGCAATATTAAAAAACCAAAGAATTTCCTTATAAATAAACAAATAGTTTTTTCTAAACATATTTTAAATGTCTTTCTAATTTTATTAAAATTTTACTAAATAATATGTTAAAATCTTTCAAGAAAAAAGTATTTAAAAATCCCGGGATCCCGGGATTTGGTAAATGCAATCCCGAAATCCCGGGATTAAAAATATTGCTTGGGATTACAAACCCTAGCTTTTTGACAGCTTCTTTAATCAATTTTCTCAATTTTCTGCAGCTCTCCTTTTGCTTTCATCAAACTGCGTGTTAATAACTCAATGTTTCGTTTTAGATGTGTATGAAGAGTAGGAGGCGAGTAATGTAGTGTATTGAGCATTTTCTTACAATGCTTGCAGAAAGCTTTACCCTTTTTAGGTGTTATTTTGTCAAAGTGATATCAAATCTACTTACTCTCGGCAATTTTGTCTAAAAGCATAATGTTTAAATGCAGCAAATTTTGCAACAAAATAATTAGTTTCCTAAATAGTGATCGCATTTTAAATAATTATATAATCAAATTACACTAGAAATGATCATCAGTAATAATAGTAACAAATTGAATTACCATTAAATGATAATAATAATAACAATTATAAGCAATGATAAAAAGAAATGATAAACCATCATAATATTAACTAAATAATTATAAAATGACTGTACCTCAAACAGTAATCTGATAAATGCAGTGACACCTAATATTAAAAATTACAACACTAAATGAAAATAATAATAACAACAATAACAATAAATGGCAACATAAAAATGTGTATGTGTATATTATTTGTGTATTGTGTATATTATTAAATATGATATTATGTATAATTATATACAACAAAATCATATAAAGTGATCTTAAAAAATGTATAATAGAAACAACAGTGTAAATAAATAATAGTAGTAACAATAATAATCTATGACAAATAGTAAAAATAAAAACTAATCATGGAGCAAGTATTTAGTTTACAATAAAATAACACAAAAACAATAAAATCACTTCATTAAATAAGTTATATAGTTATAAACTATTAGTTGTTTTCTCTGTAATATCTTATTTATAACTTTAGCGGTATGGCTTTTATGTGCGTTCTCACGTGAACTCCACATGAATGATTATTGTTAATACCAATCACTATGTATCCGTCATTATGTGGCATTCATTATATGTCAGTCATTATGTAATCAAATGTACCAATCATTATGTAATTAATTTCTACCAATTTGGAACGCAAATAGTTAGCAATTTGTTAACAATGTCCAAAATGGAAAATGTTGGTGCAGCAATCATTACAAAAACAATTAAGCAAAAACCAGGTTATTCAACTTTAAAGTTTAAAGTGGATTACTTTAATAAAGTTTATTATATTCGTTAAACTTTAGTTACAAAGTTTAACGAATATTGAGTATTCGGCCTTCATTTAAATTAAATCAAAGTTAAACAAACTTTGCTGGTGCTTAGTTTTCAATTTAATTCATGTAAATAATCATATGATAACTGTTTGATGAGATATTTAACTGTTTCTTAAATATCTTTTTAAGAGTAATAAGTTTAACTAATTACAATCGCATTAATAAAAACTGAATAATGGCTTAAGCATATGATTTTTAACGTTTAAAGATTTTTTTAAATCTTTAAAAATTAAACTTTAAACTTTGTTTCATTCATGTTACACTACGTCATTATATGCTGGCATATTCTAATTGACTCCGATAAGTCATTTATACGCTATATTTAAAAATTCCCTCAGAAGCCTGACAGATGCTTTTGCTAATATTAACATACTAGAGTAGCATTTTTTAACAGTTGTATTAATTTGTTCTTTGAATTGGAGATGTTGATCCATAGTGACCCCTAATAACTTAACATGAGTTACTGTTTGAACCTCAATATTTTCAATTTTAATGTGTTGGTTATCAGGAAGTTTTTTTCTCAGTGATTTGAAAACTATCAGTTGCGTTTTACTTGAGTTAATAGTGAAACCATAATCAACACAGAACTTATTTGTATCTCCATACACTTTGAAGAAATTTTCAGTGACAACTTGTAGTGAGTTGTCTGCAGCTGATAGGGTAATGTCGCCTGCAAATAAATAAGACTTAGTTGTTAATGATTGTAAAAAATCTCTTATGTAGATTTTGAATAGTTCAGGGCTAAGGCCACCATCTTGAGGTATGCTTCTTGTTATCGGCTTCCATCAGATAATCCTATTTCTGTTTTTCACTCTCTGAACTTTTCCTTCTAGGTAATTTTGAAATAGTTTACCAGCTTTTTGACTTATTTCTCTTTTAGCAAGCTCATTTAGCAGACTCTGATGTGGAACGCTATCAAATGCTTTTGTCAAGTCTATTAATAGGGTGCGTACAAGTTTTCCTTTATTTAATGAGCTAGAAGATTATACCAGGAGTTAGTTGCTATTATTAATGCAGTTTCACAGTTTGAATTCTTCCTGAATCCAAATTGCTGTATTGGTATTAATTTTTTAGCTTTTTTCCAGATTTCAGGAAATACACCCTGAAATTTGTTTTCTATATCTTGATTTTTACTTTTGTTTATCTATTTAATGCGTAATATATGCTTTAATATTCTATGTAGTAGTGTATATATATATATATATATATATATATATATATATATATATATACATATATATATATACATATATATATATATATATATATATGTATATATATATATATATATATATACATATACATATATAAATATATATATATATATATATATATATATATATATATATATATATATATATATATATATATATATATGTATATATATATATATATATATATATATATATATATATATATATATATATATATATATATATATATATATATATATATATACATATATATATATATATATATATATATATATATATATATATATATATATATATATATATATATATATATATATATATATATATATATATATATATTAATTAAAGTTTGCCTTTATTTTGCTTTTTTATATGTTTCTGCAAATATATTTATTTTTTTATTGTATAAATTAAATTTTTTTTTCTCACTCTATCCTTCTGAACTTATGTGATTAAATTTTTGTTTTCTCCTACATTTTTTCCCACTCATCTTATCTTAGTTCTTTGTCTTTTGTAAATGTCTTATAAACAGGCTTGTGAAGCCGAGCAGGAGCCGCGGAGCCGCTGTTTTTTAATGTAGCCGGAGCCGCAAAAATCAAGCGGTTCTCGGCTCTCGTGTTTTTTTTTTAAAGGAAGAGAATACATATTTTTTATTTTTTTACTCTAGACAAACTTTATTCATTTATTGTTTTACATTGAATTTTTATTTTTTTTAATATTTTTTCTAACAGTTTCAGTCTAGCCAAAACTCAATAAAAATGACTATTTTAACGATTTTGTACTAAATTATATATGGAAAAGTTACAGCTTTATATTATATTTTTATATTATATTATATACTTTTAATTATATTTTTATACTGATACTATGCTGTTAAATATTTGATGCGCCATTTAATGATCAAAGGTTATTCATATCTTTAAAACTATATTAATGTGATCGTTAAACATGAAACGATGATTTTCGTTTTAAAACTTGTCACTAACACATTTTCAATGTATTTTTTTTTTGCGTAATTATTTTAAGTAATTATAGTATTAATTAAATTGTGATTGAAACAGTTAAAAAAAAACGAAAAAAAGTCTGCTCATCCATCTATCCAATTCTTCTGCATCGTTACTTTCAATCGCTAAAGCATCTGAATCTAGCAAACTATTGTTTGTATGGGCATCAAACAATACATGAGCTCTCTATCTATCGAACAAGCAAAAGGATCTGGAAGAAAGAGTAGTTTTAAAGATAAGAAAGCAGCAATTAGTATTCGATGATCATTAATCAAAACCCCGGCTTATCGAACAAAGAACAAGCCAAAAGGTATAAAGTTTCAGAGTTTTTTAAAGATTAAATTTTGGCAAGCAATATGCAGCTGTAGTTTGAGATCTTGAGCTTTTGTCACATCGTCAACTTTAAACTCGGATTTTTACATCAAAGAATACTTGCAAGCTAGACTTTTGCAGTTTTATCAAAATCACGATGTCTCCTGTTAGTTCTGGTCTAATCTTGCTTCTTGTCATTATTTTAAGAAAATTGGTTCCATTCGAGAGACTTGAAATTCATACCAAAAAGCTTGAATTCATTAATCTGCATACAGTTCCGTCCCATTGAGAAATTTTGGAGATTCGGCAAAGGATATTTGTGTAAGAGTGGCAAAACAATAGCTAAAGATTTGTTTAGAGAGTTAACATTAGTAGGAAAAAAATTGTAAAAAAACACTGTGCAGGAGTTGATGTCGTCATTAGCGTAAATGTTCGCTATTCAGAATAATGAAAAATATTTAAATAAAAAGTACTTTTATAATCTTCAAGTTCCTTGGATTAAAATAAATATTGAAGTTTTTGCTTTAGTTGAACTATTTCTTTTTTTTTTTTTTTTTTGAATTTTTTATTATTTTGAATTTAACGATTGCATGTTTGTGTATCTCTTTTATTTGTCCCGTGCTCACTGCCACGGGACACACAAAAGAGGTCTTTTAAATGTCTTTAGAAAGTTTTGGATGCCTTTTGAACGTTTTGGACGTTTTTGGGACTTTCAAAAGACGTCTTTTTTAGGTACGTGCCCCTTGGGTAGAATTAAAATTAAAATTCGGACTAAAAACTCTAGTTTTGGGTAAATAATATATAGAAAAAAGTGTTTGTTTACCCGAAACATTTTTCATTTCAAAGGTAATATCCTATATTTCAAAGGTAATATCCTGTAGAGTAGTGATAGTAATACAATAACAGTGTAATCATGAAAGTTGGTTAAAAATTAATTGCTGTAGTTAGTATAGTTATGGGTCGGCAAATGTGATCAAAAAAATTTCCAAAACTTACGACTTTTGTTCATAAAGTTCGGGAGCCGGAGCCGGATATTTCTTAGGAGCTGGAGCCGGAGCCGAACCGTGAAAAAAAACAGTCGGCTCCACAAGCCTGCTTATAAGCCCTTTGCTTATAAGCCCCAAAGAGTTCAGAGTCTTGGGCTTAGCACAAATAAAGCAAAAGTTATGCCTTGTAAAGTCAAGAGTAAGCAATCAAAAATTACCAGAAAATGATCATATGGAATTTGTAGGAAAGAGGTTGGGAGCAAACTATTGTTTGTACAGTTTGTAAGCATGTTTCGAAAGGAGGTATACAAGGTTTACCTAAGATAATTTTTTTTGAATATAGAAATTGTTTTTAGAAGTTAAATTCTCTTACATACAGCTGATTATAAGGAGCATAGAGAGTAAGATGTACCCAGTGTAAGTTCAGATTATCTACACTTCTAACAGCAAGAGGTTCATCATTAAACATTGAAGCAAAACTATGTACCTCATATGTTCATTGCAATAAAGATTAATGATGTCAACTGTTTGGGAAGAGCTGCAAAGATGATGGTCAAATGAATGTGTGGTGTGTTTTTAAATAACAAGAAACTTCTTGAAGTAAAATAAAAATTGAAATATACATTTTTCAGACCCTTCATGTCAGTTGCATATCACAAAATGCAATATGTATATATATATGTATATATATATATATATATATATATATATATATATATATATATATATATATACATATATATATATATATATATATATATATATATATATATATATATATATATATATATATATATATATATATATATATATATATATATATATATATATATATATATATATATATATATATATATATATATATATATATATATATATATATATATATATATACAAACAAACATATCAATTTATTAGTTGAAAGAGATTTTAATGGTAAAAAAAAAATCTTTTTCAACGCTTTTTTTTAATATTTAAGCTAAAATTTGAAATATAATATGCAATAAATTAAATGAAAATGAAAAAAAAAAAATTATAAAAAATGTATATTTATAACAAAATATTAAATTTAAATATGTAATAATAAAAATAGACAGAAAATAAAATTTAAATAAAATTAAAAGTATAAAAAAATAGTAAAAAAAGTAAAAATAAGATATATACATATACATATATATATATATATATATATATATATATATATATATATATATATATATATATATATATATATATATATATATATATATATATATGGTTGTATGTACCGGACAGGTATGTGGTTATATGTATGTGGTTGACATATATGTGGTTGTATGTACCGGACAGGTCTTAGTAATAGTGAAAAGTGTATTGACATTATAAAATCATTAAAACAAGCATATGTACTCAAACAAAATAACAAATGCTCTGGTATTTTAATATGTGGTGACTTTAACTATGCAAACATCAAGTGGAACGATGAAAGTTTTAGTGAAATTATAAATGACAGTGACACAACAGCAAGTATGTTTATTGAGTCGTTACATGACTGTTACCTGCACCAAAATGTTATCAGTTCTAGTTTTCAAGTAAATTTGGTATTGATACTAACATTTTAGACCTTATTTTGACTGCTAATAGCAACAGAGTTTATTTTCTTGAACATTTTCCACCGTTAGGTGGTATCGATTATGGTCATCATGTTTTGAAATTTCGATTTGGTTATGAAAATAAACCTAATTTATTAATATCACTACAAACGAGGAAAAAAAAATTTTTGTGGAAAAATGGAAACTATAAAGCGTTAGATTTGTATTTTAATAACATAAACTGGATAAATGAATTTGAAGGACTAAGTGTTAATGAATGTTACGAAAAACGGCTAAGAAAATATGAAATAGGATGTGAAAAATATATCCCAACGCTAAATTTAGATAAAAACTCTTTTCAACTAAAAAATAACTCACTATGGATGACAAGTGAACTTAAAAGCATGTGTAAAGAAAAGAAAAAATGTTGGTTTAGAAACAGAAATTCAGGTTTTAAAAGTCTTTTAGAAGTCAATAAGTATAAGAAATTAAATAAAGATATAAAAAAACTTGTCAAGAAAAGTATTCGCAATTTTGAAAAAAACTTGGCACTTAATTCAAAAAGCAATTTTTAAAGTGTCTATGCTTATATAAACAACAAAACAAGATTTAAAGACTCGATCAAAGCCATAAAGCTACTTAATGGTATTATAACTACTGATAATCAAGAGGTAGTAAACACTCTTAATGAATTCTTTGCTTCTGTGTTTATACAAGATGACTCACCAGAAGAAGTTTTAGACGACAATCTTTTAACAAAATGTTCTGATCCAGATTTTAGTATTTCTATTATTCAGAAACATTTGAGTAATTTAAACATGTACAAATCAGATAATGTTCACCCAAAAGTTTTAAAGGAATGTTCAGAATCTTTGTCAAGTTCTTTAGCAATAATATTTGTTAAATCGTTTATTACAGGATCTATTCCAAAGTTATGGTCATGTGCAAACGTTGTTCCGTTATTCAAAAAAGGAAATAAACTAGATCCAACAAATTATAGATCGGTTTCATTAACATCAATTGTTGGTAAAGTTATGGAGAGAATTATTAAAGATCATATGATGGTGTTCCTCATTGAAAACAATTTAATTTCTAAAGAGCAACATGGTTTTGTTAATAACAAAAGTTGTATAACAAACCTGTTAGAAACATTAGATTTAATCACGCAAGCGTATGAAGAAGATATTTCCGTTGATGTTTTATTTTTGGATTTTAAAAAAGCGTTTGATTCAGTCTCTCACACGAAATTACTGAAAAAATTATTCAGACTAGTATTTGTATCATCTTTGTTAAATTGGTGTAAATCATTTTTGTCAGACCGAACACAGAGGGTTGTGATAGGGGAATATATTTCAAGTTGGAAGATGGTTACTAGTGGAGTACCACAAGGTTCAGTACTCGGACCTCTTTTGTTTGTAATCTTCTTTAATGACTTATGTAGAGGGATTATTAGACACTAAATTATATGCAGACGATACCAAAGTTATTTCAATCAATCATTGTTATGATGATAATAAAATATTACAAGAGGATATTAACAGATTAGTTAAATGGTCTGAAGATTGGTTAATTACATTTAATGAATCAAAATGTAAAGTGATGTATATTGGCAAAAAGAATCCAAGATATGAATATAAATTGAACAACTCTGTTTTAACAGAAACAATGATAGAAAATGATCTTGGGATTTTCATTTCAAATAATCTAGAGTGGAAATATCATATTAATTCGGCTATAGGTAAAGCAAACAGAAAATTAGGCATGATCAAAAACTCTTTTGAGTATTTGGATGAACTTTCATTAAAGTTACTATACAAATCGTTAGTACGTCTCCATTTGGAATATGGAGCAACAGTTTGGAGTCCATTTTGGAAAAAGGACATTGACAATCTTGAAATTGTGCAACACAGGGCTACGAGAATTGATTCTTTAAGGGGAAGTCGTATGAAGAAAAGATTAAAGATACTTGAATTGCCAACTTTGTTTGATAGAAGAAGAAGAGGTGATCTGATTCAAATGTATAAGATCTCAAAAGGGAAAGATATTGTTAATTTTTACCACCCTCCTTTAAATTTTGAGCTGGAGCGATCTAGTAGAAGTAACAATTGTAGAATACGCAGACAATTTACAAAATCAAGAATTCGTCACCATTTCTTTACAAACAGAGTTATAAATGATTGGAATTCTCTTCCACAATGGATATTAGATAAAGATAATTTGAACATTTTTAAAAACAGTAACGATAATTATTTCGGCTTCTGAACACTAATTTTTGTAATCGGCTGTCATAGTCTTAATTCTACGTAATTAAGACTCTACACACCTCAAGTGTGTACAGCACCTTTTCTATTCTATTCTATTCTATATATATACATATGTATATATATATATATATATATATATATATATATTTTATATATATATATATATATATATATATATATATATATATATATACGCATATATATACACTAGGGGTATGACTAAAAACATATTTCTTTTTTTCGGAAATGGCGTAGCAGCAAAAGATGAACTTTTACTTGAAATAATAATACTTTATTCCAAATCGAAAAAAATCTCCCCCACCAATGCAGATGAGAAATCTTTTAGATTTGTTTTGTTTTTTGGTAAAAATGATGGGAAGAGTTGATCTTAACCATATGCAATCATGTGTATATTTGAGAGGTGGGGGGGGGGGAGGCGTTTTAATTTTTCAATAATGTACTTTAAATATAAAACATTTTTGTAATTGTACATTTTTTATTTAAAGAAATTATTATTTTAAACTGTTTTATGGTTTTTATCAGTTGTTTTAAATTTTAAAACAACTGATAAAAACCATATGAATAAAATATATATATATACATATATATGTGTATATACATATGTACACACACACACACACGCACACACACACACACACACACACACACACACACACACACACACACACACACACACACACACACACACACACACATATATATATATATATATATATATATATATATATATATATATATATATATATATATATATATATATATATATATTACAGACATTGTGCAAACTCCAAACTTTTGTATGTTTATGCTTATGTCAAATGAGAATGTTCTGCAAAGAGTTGTGGTGATTAGAGCTTGGGGACTAAAAAAAAAAACAATTTTGGGGCAACCCAGCCCTTAAAGTGGGAGCAACAAGTTGATAAAATAATTTTTTTAGTATTCTTATCTAAGTTTATATTCATTAACAAATTTCAAGTTTCATGCAATAATCTCTTATTTTTCGAAAACTATGACCATATAAATTTTTAACCACCCTTAATTTGAGGGGGCTGTAAACTTTGTATGGTCATAAAAACTAAACACTAGGAGGTTGTTGCATGAAATTAAAAATTTTTGCAAGTTGATAAAATAATTTCTAAAGAAAATATTTTATCAACTTGCTGCTCCCGCGTTAAAGGCTGGATGGGCCAAAAAATTGGGTTTTTTGGCCCATCCAAGCTCCAATCACAGTTTGTTATCTGGTTATTATGTAATTTTTGTTTTGTTTTGTTAATAGAGGTGACGAAAATTCAGGATGAAAAACGAAAAATATGACGCAAAAATTATGATCACAAAAAAATTCTGTCAAAAATTTTTTTGATGAAAAAATTTTTGTAACTATAAAACTTTTAAAATAAATGAATTTTTTTGTGGTTTTAAATTGTTTATGATATTGTTCAGTTAGTGTCACAAATGTTATGTTATATATTGTTTGTAGGATTCATTCAGTGTTATAAGCTATTTATTGTGCGATTGAAATCCTCGTGGTCTAAGGCTTTTTTTTTTGTTTTTTTTTTGTTTTTAAAGTGTAACAGCGTAAAAATGTTTTTAAAAAAGTTCTCTTTAAAATTTCGGGGCTTCTACCAGGGCGGTGCCCGTAGCTATATTATGTAATTTACCACTTTAACTCCATTGAGCAGAAATTAATTTTATCTTTATGATTTTTTATATTTTAAACATATATTTAAAACATAAGCACTGAGTGGAAGAACTAATTGTAGAAAACTAACTGATTACATAAAAATAATTCAATATCTTTTTACTTTTTATTTATTTTCTTTTTTAACATTTTTTACTAAAGATTTCTTATTTTTTATATTATAGAAGTCTGGTGTTTTATTATTATTATTATTTCCTTTCTTTTTACTGCGATTGAAGTATGCTTGAAAATAGTTAAAATAAAATTCATTTATATTTTCCAAAAGTTGGTGTTTTAGAGGTAATAAAATGTTTACTGAAAGAAGTTGGCAAGCAGAAATGTCGGATATATGTCGGTTTATTTTGTAAAATTACTACAAAAAAACCAAAACGCTAAAATAAATAACGCCCATGGGATTTAAGTTATGGTGGCGTCTCTGATCTGTAACCGTTTATCTATTTGTATATCTTTGGTACATTAAATACTTCATTATCCATTAAAGACATAAAAGACAGCCATGGCCATCATTTCCTTCTACTTCGATATTCAGATGTAGCACCAGCTTAGCATGTTGAATACGTACTTTTTCGATAACTGATTTAGCAGTTATAAAGTAAGTACCACCAAAACCTTGCCGTAGTTTTCCGAAACATTTCTCAATTGGATCACTAGAAAACCAACCTAAAATAACATACTCATTTCCACTTGATAAAAGATGACGAGACAAATCAATTAGTCCACGACAAGTGTGTGAAAGTCCATTGCTTGTATCTCTCGTAAGCTGGCGAATTCGTTTACCAGATGTTGGTTTCATATATTCTGCGATTGTTGCAATAGCAAGTAACTTTTTTAAATTAATGTCATCTGAAGATCTGATTACATTACATGACTCATCCCTAAATCTAGCATTGACACCTGGGCATTTAACATTCACTATTTTCCAAAATTCTATAATCAACTCCAAAAAAATAATAGTACCCTTGACACTTTCTTGGTCTATTTTAGGATGAGTTTTTAGAGCTGCAACTGTCTCTTCACTAAATACTTGTAGACAAGTGCTTACTTTTTGCTTTTCTATTGGTTTAAGATTTATTGATGTTTCAGTCAATCTGGAAAACTTTATTAATTGGTTTTTTTCAAGTGTATATAAGTTAACTAAATCTCTCCAATTTGCAATGTAAGTTATCTCATTTTGAGTAAACTGTAACTGACCTAGTTTTTCTGTCAGCCAATTGTTTTTTATGCACTTTAAAAGATGGACATAGTCATATAAAATATAAGAGCCATTTTTACATAACCAAGGTTTTCCGTCTACGGTTTTGAATTTAGAAAAAAAAGCTTTGATTAACTTTATTTCCATCTGTAATAATTGCAATAACTTTACCATTACTCATAGAACTTTCTATGGTGTCTACAATTAATTTGCACTGTTCTTGTTGGAAATTTGATGTCAGATTACTAACTCTTGGTAAAACTCTTGCTAGAAATTCAGGTCCACCATAAAGGCTTTTTACCATGAATGAAAGTACAGTAGTAGCTAATTTCTCTGGATTATTAACAGCTTTTCCAAAAATACTTCCACTTTGATATAATAATGCTGCTTTTACATAAACTTTATCTATCAATAAAACACAATTTCTTTTTTTTTCATCAAGGTTCGATAACACAGAACTTAAAAAAGTTAAATCATCTCGAGAGTTTATTTTTGAAGTTATGCGTGTCAAAGTTCGAATACTTGGCAACTGATAATCATAACATAATCAATGGTAAGTGGAACGACTTGTTGCAAAATATTCAAAAGCTCTGGTTATTATATCTGGAGAATACACAGCACAGCCAACAGTATGATCTCCCATTACATTTAAATGCTCAAACATTACTTGAGTTTTATGATCCTTATCTTCAACTTTCATAATATTAAGGGCTTCATTTAAAGATGACTTTGTACAAAGGGAAGTGATTCAGTTATTTGCCAGAGATTTAATAGTACATTTTGAACTAAAATGAAATGCTTCAAACGACAAACTTTGATTAATTATTACCAAAAATAGTGGAACACCACAATTAAATATTTTAGATTGGATGAAAATTGAATTATTTTGCTTGTATGAAATCAAATCATTATAAGTTGATATGTGTTTTTCGATTTCTTCAAAATTTAAATTATCAATTATTTTATATTCTTCTAATTCATCTTTTCTGATACCTTTTTTTGAAGAAGAAGATAAAGTCTTTCTCGTTTTAGGTGGTGGAGAAGATAGACAACTTTTAGATATATTTGGAAACACTGATGGGTCTCAATTTACCACGACATAATTTAAACTCTGCATCATCTGGCCAATGCAATTTACAAACAACGGTGTATTTTGTTACGGTCCAATTTAAACGAGGGATGCTCATAAACCATTTAGTTTTTTCACATACTTCACGAGGGAATTTATACACAGATACATTACAAGCTGAAGACTTATCATTTGAGGAACAGTTTGGAACACAACATTTTAAAGGCATTCTAAATAATTTAAACTAAATTTACTTGAAGAATAGCTGTAAATTTTTCTGAAAAAACGTAACTAGTATTTAACTCCTTTTCCAACCAAAAAATGCGTTTGTTTGTTAGTTTTAAATCGGCCTTCAGTCAAAAAAATTCCCGCACGGTGTCGAGGCCTTCTATAAAGTAGGCCATGGTTCTGAACAAATGTTAACATAAGCAACTCGTAAATTGCAATTTTTTTCTCTGCAATGTAATAACTTCTTTTAGATAAATGATTTTAATCACACTGAAATTACTTTCACTGTGATTAAAATCATTTTTCACTTTTCACTTTCACTTTTCACTTTTACACTGAATAAAAGAAATTAATCACACTGTGATTACTTTCTTTTACTGTGATAATCGTTGTCAACAACATACACAACAACAACCCTACTGTGAATAACTAGGCTGGTTTTTAAAACAACTTTTTTTATAAATGACTGCTGGCTTTATAAATGAATATGTTGTATATAATAAAAAAATTCTGGATTTAAAAAATTTTTGAATAAAAATAATGCTACCGACCTTCAAACATTAAATAGGTCCCTAATATTATAATTAATTTTTTATTTTAGATTTTAGTGAACATAAAATTACATTTTTTAACTAAAAATGATTAATAGAGAAATTAACAAGATTTTTTTATTATAATTTTTTTTTATCGATATTTTTTTAAAAAATGAGTATTATTTTGAAATTTTTATATAATTTCGCTTCGTTTGAGACCCAACATGACATACTTTTGAAAAACTTTTTTTTTTAT